CGGACATGCAGCTTTTGCAAGCTACCCGCCGCTATCATCCCGCCCTACTGCAACACTCTTGCAATTTGCATTAGGCTTCTGGAGCGGCTAATCCGCAACGACTTGGTCTTGTCTACATCCGTGCTAGGGCAATCGTCGGCAGCACCACTCGTCCCGCTAACATCTCCCGTCCTTCACACAGGTCAATCCGTCAAATCGGGTCCTCCATATGAACACGTCTACTCTTGAGCCTGAATCACTCTTTTGCCGTTGACACTGGGCGATACAGATGTAGTATTCCGCGAAGAATACGCGTCTCAGTACCCCTAGGCTGTTGAAGGTTGTTTGACGGATACGAAAAGCATCGAACTCCGACTTACATATCGCCCAGCCATGCCCTGTCGCATTTCCCCAAAGTCCCAATAGAGATACCTGACGGATACCTTGGTGGTCCAGTATGGGGAAGCTAGCTACGGGTGCCGTGTGGTGCGTATCCGTACAGTACCCCCATCGAGCCGCCTACCTTACCGTCTCTCTCTCTCTCTCTCCACAACGAGTACCTACCGTGGCTCCTTCTCAGCGCAACCCTGCTACGGTGATGGGAAGAGCATCAATGACCGCCTCTGTCCTCCAGGCTAAAGGGCTCCATGGACTTCAAGTGCATTCTTCAGGGCCAAGACTGCAACTCTGTCTGGCCGAACAGACTCACGACAAATACGGTATTTGGAAGCTCAGTACAGTCTGGGTCTTGCAGCGAGACGCTAATATGTTTTGCCGTGCGAGGTGAAGACAACGGAACAATTTTTTCATGATCCTGTCGCCTTCTAAGCCGGCGGAGAATAGTCTCGAAGAGCTAGTACGACTTATCCACGTTGTGTTCGCGACAGCCAGGTACACGCTCCGGGTGGGATATCCACTGTTCACCGCACGTCGCCTGCTTACAGGGACCCCGATGTTGGCGGAAGAAAAACCCTCGTTGAATGTTTCTTTGCAGCATGTTTATCGGTCCTCAAGCACACGGACCCCACGGATACTCGACTGACAGAATTGCCCTGTGCTGAGCTGAAGCCTGAAGAATAGATCACGAACCAGAAACGATACCGGTGGCCGGGTCGGGATTGCACTGATCTTACTGCTCCCAATTCCTTCTCCGAGGCTGACCGCCGGCGCGCTGGCGCGCGACTGGTCCATCACGAAGGGTTCGACGCCTCTACGTCATAGCGACTGGGGCTGCTCCCGTCAGATGGTCTTCTCTTACTCAGTGACCCTCGCCGTTCCGGCCGATCCGTTACCGCTCATCGCTTTCGCACCGACCTCCGATCGTGGCAGGTCACAGAAGCGGCTAATTGACGCCTCTTGCTTGAGCTCGCCAGTGCTCGCCTTCGCCTCTCTCGCCATCGCGGGAGTTGACGTGCTGACCTAAGCTTGCTGGGTGTTACCTCCAAGCTGATCGACGCTACAAGGGTTTCTCCTTACGAGGCACGCCCTCGCCAAAAACCAGTTCTCGTTGGCGTTGGAGCTTGGGATCGGAGCTGTGTCGGTCAGTGTTCGGTCTCGCCGTCGAGGAGGCCGGGGGACCCATAATGCACAAAGCGGTCGGTGGCCTTGGCCATTTTGCCTTCCCAAACTCAAGACATCCGAACCGCCTGGCCGTTTCCTCGCCCGGCTGCCAGCCACGGTGCCACGCAAAGGGTGGTGGCCCAGCTCCTAGAGAAGTTTCGCCGATACTGAACTCTCTCACCGAGATTCAAGCACGGTCTGCCCGGCTTCTTCCACCATCCCAGCCTGCCAGGCCTTGCCACGGGCGACGCCCGGGCCTACTTGAAGCCCGGGTGTTTGGTCCTGTCCTTGGACCGGATGACAGAACCTGTCGGGCAACCTGGACGGTTGGAGCCTGGAGAAAACTCGCGCTCGGCTGGCCAAAGCTCGCCATTCAATATTGTCCTCGTGAGCTCCCCGTGGAGACTGGAGACTCTCGGCGCTCACTCACCGTCTTTGTGTTCTTGGTCGTGACTCTTAGCAAAGAGGCATGCTGAGCCGCCCACGATGAGCCATTTCAAACCTCGCTATCGTATTGGACAGTCAACACCTCGTCCATCGTTGATCTGGGCCATCTTGGGCGCCGCATCTCTGCACCACTACCCACCATTACAGTCCTCGGAAATGGCCCCGGTTACCCCCTCCCGAAATCGTCCATCGAATCGCCCGTACAGATACACCTGCACTGTGCCTCCACTCCCGCGTTCTGTCGAGTGCGGGGATTTGACGGCCCTGATTCTCCCGCGCTTGCTACCATCCTAACGTGCTTGAAGCCTCATTCTACTACCGTTCGAGTCTACATTCCCCCCCTTCCGAGTCAGTTGGTTCTGGCAAAGTTGGAGAAGGATGGGGGGGTCCTGCAACGAATCGACGCCTCCAGAGTCTTGGCCGTCGATGACATGCGCTTTCTGGCGCAACGAAATGCGCCTTTTTTACCCCAATGTCGCCTCGTTTGGCAGCTCTAAGACAAGGCCATTTCCATGTATAGTTGATCCTTCTTGGCTCACGAGTACAGCCGCCCGCAATCTTCCGCTGAGCCGTGTAAGGTCAAGACTCAAAAGATCGAGCGAGAAAAGGGCCAACGGAATCGGAGCGTCCATTTTCGTCGCATCGTCGCATCGATTCCACCTTGGAGGGGAAAAGTCTTGGCCAGCGACCTGGGACCTTGGCTTCTACCAACTAACCTCCAAAAAAGAGCGCTTGTATTCATACGAGCCTAACAATTGACAGCTCTCGCTTGAGCTCTACTTCGTTTCTTCGTCGCGGTACGGATAGCAGTCAACTAGTCACGCCAGTGTACGAACTATGATTTTACGAATTCGTTTGCACGTAAGACGATACAGGGATTGGCCACAACAAACGGTCGGTCGAGCTAGGGCACGAATCCCGACTCAACTGCCAAACTATCGGCCATGGGTACTCGCGACGCCGCCTCCCCCAGCGCTCGGCACACTAAAAGCCGCTCCACGTCGCGCATCCCCTAGGCTTTAGGAGTCTAGGGTCTCGCTCAAAATTTCACAGTGAGACTTCTGGACCCAGACTCGGCCGTGTAGCTCGCTGTTTGGGTGATCTGTTCCTATCGCCCCATGGCCTGTGGGTGACAAGACCATCCATCCGTCTCCGGAGCCGATGGGCTTGTCAGCGGGGATTACTATGACAGACAATGGCGGAGTGACCCCCGGATCGATAACACACAATATTGGACGTGGATGGGATTCTCACTCGAGTCACCGTGTTATAGCTTGCCAGGCCTTTTCCGTCTCGTTGCGACATCACATACTGATTGCTAATGCCAACGAGTGACGAGAAAGGCAAGCACTGGACGCGAGAAAGGTCTAATTGATGGCGCGTAGAACCCTGTCGGAAGAGGGCACGGTTGGCATGCTCACTCATTTGCATCATGGCACCGTCTGCGTCGATAAACCCTGGTATTTTCGGACATTAAGCTGTGGGTGAGATGGGTACCCATCACGTTTGTTTACATCTCCATCACCACAGGGGCCAGTACAGGCCAGATAGGGTTTGGTCTGGAGCTCATGTCAAATTTCGATTTGGCTTAACGAGCTGAAGTAGATCATGAGTCTGCCGATTTCCCGCATCATTTCATCCGATTGAAATTGCTCAATGCGTTCTGCCTCCACGACAGACGTCATCCCAAGTCACAGGGCTGTTCCAACTTGCAACGGGATGAATGTGGATTTGAAGCGAAATTTCGAGATATGGAGGATTGCGACAGGTACAACATAGCGAATAGCTGCATTTCGCCAAAATTCGTACCTGAGGGATCCGTCTAGCTGCAGCTGCGGCCAAGACGCTTCGAAATGTTCCGGAAGCATTAGGTCAACGATAGAATGCTGTCAGACCTGAGACCGTCCACCAGCGCAGATATGCGGCCAGAGTCTGCGGCCAGCGTTGATCCGTCCATCGTCTAAAGTCGGCACGACATGCTTGACTCGACCGACTCGCCGCGGCGCTGCGGCGCGACATCGCCAGCCATCTCATTTTCTTTCCCTTGTCGGCAATGGAACGTCAAGGATAGCCTACAGCATCGCATCGAGGCGGCTGATTGCTGTCTACAAGGTCGCATGCGTACGACATGGTAGAAGTCGAGACTACATCTTGGGGTAGCAGCTGGGCGAGGGCCTGAAACAGACCAATGAAGGTGAAACCTGAATCAAGGAGAAGAAGAAAAGCCTGCAACTGGACAGCGTAATTCTTTGTCGTTGGCAATCTGAATCTGCTCTTGGTTCGCAGTTGGCTAGCCAGTCAGAATTGGACATACAACGTCGAATTTCGAAAAACCTAGCAACCTACAGAGCATACAGGACAGGCCAACCTAGGCGGCTGGCTGGTCTCTGGGATAAGCCGGACATGCTCTTACGAGAGACCAAAGCACCGGGAAACATCTGGTGACATTCCATACGGCACTTCGTCATCAAGCGGTGAGTGTTCATCAATCGTCCTAGCCCTGGCTCCCTGTGACGGCGCTGCGTGGAGTTGCCGTTGACTAACGATTACGGGCCGTTTCTTGCTTTGGTCCATTATCATGGGCCATGAGCCTTGCCTCTATACTCGATAGGATCAAGGGATGCCGGCGAAACCCCCCCCCCCCCCCGTTACTACGACTAACTAAGAGGAAACGGCAAAAGAGACGAGTCAGTGGCTGACTGGCTCCTCTGATTATGGTCTTATGGCCCAGAGTTCCCGCTCCAACTCCTGCCCGGAAACAAGACCCGGTTTCTTTCGCGGTGTGTGCCGCGGTTTCCCAGGCCTTGCTCTTAAGGCGTCCCGTGTTAAGGAGCCCCATCGTGAAGCGTTAGACCGGGCAGTCTCCGTTCATCAGTCGGAAGGGTTCAGTTGGGTTCTATGGGCTCATGGGGGGAGAACCGGCGATTGGCACGCCAGTCCACTCCCGGAATTGACCATGCATTCTAGGGCAATACGGAGCCGAACCCTCTTTACGCGCTGCTTGGCTGGATGGATCTTGCGGTTTGATTGGGGTCTCCATCTTTCAACTTTGAGCCGCGGCAATCCTGCAGATGCTCCAGTTTCCTGCAGAGATATCCGGTACAGGAACAGGACACTAACGGAGCTTCGCTCGACCAAACCGCAACCACTCACGATATTTGTTCCCCACATGCCGCCAGCGATGCAGCGATGCAGCCAGCACGCCAACGGCCATCAAGCAGAGAGAGAGAGAGAGGGTCGCAGAGGAAAGAGAAATGGAGCATGCTAGCAGCGCTGCAGCACCAGCAGAATCCGCCCGTCCGCCCGCTCTCCGTTGGTGCGTGTCCGCTTTCCGCCCTTCTAGAAGCAATGTTTGAAAGCGGGTTGCGGCGGCATGGAGAGGGATGACCGCTGCGGCCACCAATCGCGATCACCTAACTTTGTGCCAAACTTACTTACCGCCATGCCCAGTTGTCTTCGGGGGGAAGTGTTCTGCTGGCAACTGGGCGGGCCACCGTAGCCTTGCAAAGTTGGACCGGCGGCGGGCTGTGGGGACCGGGTACCTTGGGTATGATTTACTGATTATTAGGTGTCATGCAAGTGACCAACCGCTAGAGATCAGGTCAATTCTCAGACGGAACGCTGTGAAACCGCCATGGCTTTTGCCTTTTCCCGGGGGGGTGCACAACCTGGTGTTGTTGTGTTGTTGTTTATTTGTCGTGAATTGGGGGGACACTATTGACTGTTTTCTTGGCTCTCCATGGCAACAGTGGGAAAACCCAACCTCTTCAGGAAAGCCGCCGAAGGCACTCTATTCTCGCGCTTGCCTGGGCCTAGCGTCAGACACCGGCTCGGTTGTGGCTTCTTTTGAGGCGTTGGGGTCATCTTGCGACGACACTCGATCGGTTTTCGACCTTGCAATAACTCTCTGTCCCTCCTCCCTTGAGTACGATTGTATTGGAATACGAAGGACAGTCTGGACAACTGCGTACAGTGCGATCGATCAACTTTCGAAATGCTGGCTGACTGGCTGGCTGATCTGACCTTTTTTGCGTGCTCGGGGTCATGAAATACGGGGAAGGCCAAGCCCGCCGGTCGCAGATTGGCAACCATTGGCGACCATTAGCAACCGCTGATCCAAAGTTGCGATATGACGGGGGAAATAATAAGACAGATAAGCTTTGCGCAAGCAGACAAAAAAATTCTCTTCAAATTCAACCCCGCTAAGAAGGGAAAAGGGAATGGTCCGGTCCTCTCTGCGAGTGATAGAGAAGCTGCTATAGGAAAAAGCAATGTGATTTATCTGGTAACTTTTGGCTACATTAGTTGCAGTTGCGTCCATTTGCTGGACGAAACGTCAAGCAAATGCACACCCGACTCGTTCATCCGGTCTTTTGTTTCCCTCTCATTGTGTCATGAATCATTTCCCTTTTTCCCTCGTGGCATCTTTATTCTGGACGGTTTCCATTTTATGCGTTTTGTTTTGTTTCCTTCATGCCCAACGCGTTTCGAGTTTCACTGATATTGCGGGGTGGGTTGTAGTGGTAGTCTTGAAGGGAAGGGATGGCATGGCATGTCACAACCTGTACACAGTGTCATCGGGTACCACGTGCAAAGTGTCTCCGTCCAAGCTTCCATTATTGAAAGGTCAAACCCGAGATGAGGTAGGGATGAAAACTTTTTGGACTTTAGGTAGGAACGATTGTGTGTGCTTCGACATCATGTGGTTCCTATGAACGCTTGACATTAGGCGGGAGGTTGAAGAAATTTTGTTATCGGTTGGAATGGGCTTTTTCTTCTCCAATGGCCTGTCTGTCACATGTGACATGTGTCAGTGGTTTAGAATCCGACTGGCCGGACCAGCAAACTGTATAGGTATCCTTGATGGCTACGCTTATTCTGTCGGTTATCTCACATGTACGGCTGCGTCCCTGAAGTCTCGAGTTGGATGAGTCTTGACCATGGCACCTGAGCGCATTACAGCGCATTACAATGCGAAAAGGTCATACGGCGTAAATGCCCTGCAATCAGCCCTGCCGCTTCGTTTGCGACTGATGAACAGCGTCTTTTAGAAGGGCCGTGGTAATGAAAGTCCGGGCGGGGGCAAGCCGTGATCAGGTTGGCATGTATTCGGAAGCTCTAGGGCGGATCGGGGTCTTGAGTGCGTGATCTGTCGTCCGATGTTTGGGGAGGGAGACTTTTTGTCGTCGTTTGGTCGTGTCTGTCAGCCCGACGAAGCATCGCATAATCAGGCTTGCTGGCTGACTAGCCCATGGGAATTCGGATGGTTTAGGCCGTGGCTGTTGGCAGCATTCTTTCTCGGTGACTATCAGGGCTCTTGGCTATTCCACGGTCTCTTTCTCGGATTCGCGAATGCGAGATTCTCCGGTAGCGAGGCTATAGTGGTTTTTGACTTTTGACTTTTGACTTTGTGGCTCTGGCGAGACTGAAGATTGTTTGTGCGGCTATGCTTTGGTGCGTGTAAGTCAACCCTTGGGCTGTCGGGGAAGGTATCAAATGAGATGAGATGAGATGAGCGAGTGTCAGGGTCACGATTAACAAGTGTTTGAGTATTGAGGAGTGGTAGGTGGTGATGTTGAGGAACTTGACGAGATGGAAACACCATCTTGTTCTTGTCTTGCCGGGCATGTTGGAGAGGACTTGGGTCTTCGATCGTTGGCGTGGAAATATATCTACTCAAAAACCTAGCCCGTCTTCTCATCAACGATAGCATAGACTTTTTTGAGGACAAGTCTGAGCCTTCGACATTGTTCGGCGAGGATTCGTCTTTTGATGAAATGGGCTTTGCTATACCCGTTCTAGTCGCGAGTACAACAGCGGGACCGGCGTACGTGAACCGGAATCCATGGCTTTGTATTACTGATGACATGCTGACCTGTTCACTCTCGCATCTTTTACGGCCGCTTTCTCTGACACTTTGCGACCTTGGTATTCCTCTCATGCTCCATGCTCGTACCGCCGTCGAGAGGGGGGTCGGGGGTTGGGGGTTTGAAACCCGCCATGACATGCCTTTGTTTAGCATGAATACCGAAGACCATATCATCGAGATAGCCGCGAGAGAGCTACATCACACGGAACTCTTTGAGACTTAATGGTGGCTGAGTTTGATCCGTTATAGGCGAGTTGTGGAAGGTACTCTTGACAAGACTCGTTTACTTGATTCGGACGAACATTCGAAGTAGGCAGATGGCCGGTCTGCCTACTCTCGAGATAAGGTGTATATTTTACTCATTCATGGAAGCTATAGAATAGAGCTTTCTAGGGCTCGCGTGGGAAACAAGTGCTCTCGAGATCACCATGTCTTTGATCCTCCGCAAGGCTCGTTGGTGCTGAACAAAACAAGTCATGGATATCAACGCCTTTAATTCCTCGCCTCTTCCACTCTATCTGGTTTGCCGGATTGACTACTGTCATCAACAGTGGCCATTGAGAATCAGAAATTACTCGCCTTAGATGATTTGCTTCATAGCTTCTTTTCATTTGAGAGTGATGACTAACAGCTTGAGTTCTGGTATCCCGACAAGCGCTACATGGGGGAATGTACAGGATAATCAATACCGTGGAAAGATATGAAGAGGCTCTCTTGATGAGAAGCCTCGTCAAATAGCCCGCTAAAAGTAGTAAAACACAAATCGAAAGGAAGCCATGAAGTGAGCAATCGACAAGCCCGCTCATGTGACTGCAACATCAACCTCCATTTCCAATTATCGTGATATCTGACTGATAGCGTCACCACCTCCTCCCCAAGTTCTCCCACCGTATGGCGTAGGCCCTTCCAGAGATCTCTCCTCCCAAACACACCCCTTACGCCGTCCCAGTCGCAGTCGGCCGCTCCTTCTTATAAGGAAACGGCAACTCAGGAAGATCGTCGTACATGTACAGGCCCTCGTTGCAGTTCGACTTGCCCCAGATGTTGCCCGTGCTCTCGTACCAGGCCGAATCGACCGCGAGGGCCGGGCAGGTCGCGAAGACGTCGAAGCTCCAGTAGAGCCTCTTCTCCTGGATCGACTTGTCGCCGCGGTCCTCGCAGATGGGCTTGCTGGGCAGCGCGCACGCGAGGTCGGTGCGCTTGAGGTTGTGCCAGAGGCGGTGGCAGACGGCGCCGACGTCCTCGTCGACGAGGGCCGTCAACTTGAAGGGGGTGACAAAGGTGTTGCCGTGGCCGCGTTTGCAGGCGACCTGCTGCCACATGTGTTTTCTCTCGCGCGGCATGTTCATGGGGCCCTTGCCGCCTGGTTTGATGGCCGCGACGAGGGTCGCTGTCGAGGCCAGGAAGAGGAGGAGGAGGAGGGTGATTGGGGACTTCATGGTTCTTGAAGAAGGGCTTGGGCGAAGTTTCGGTTGAGTTAATTAGGTCTGTACCCGTTTGATTAATGGCAGAGAGAGGGATGGAGAGGAAGGTCCGGCTTAGATTGTCGAGATGTAACGAGAGGGCGAGTTATTAGCTGACAAAGGGGAGTCTCTATGCCATTAAGATCCGAGGCAAGTGCCAGAAGAACGTTGAGGAGGACGTCGAAGATGGCTTGACGGTTGGACCTCGTGTTATTTCTCGTTAGACGACCAAGAACGAGGAAAGGATTTTAGTTGGCTAGCCAATTGCCTGACTGATATATAGTGGCCAGCCTTTGACAAAAGCCAGGAGGGGCTCAGGGAGGACTGGGGAATGGGTCCGGAGAAAGCTCATACTTCTCCAAAGACAGATAGATACCTTGTTGACTTCATGCACAAGAGAAGCTATGTGGGACATACTATTGAATAATATAATGTAGTGTGTACCTGTGATTGCCGACGCCTTCCTGGCGGGAACTATTGTATGCGATGACCAAACTTTTCAAGAATTACGCGCCGAGTTCTTGCCCACGATGGCTTCAAACCCTCCAAATACAAACAGGGTGGTCTGCGTTCCAATATTCACTGTCTAGAATGGAATAAACTTCGTAGGAAGTAAGATATCGAGGACCTTGAGTAATTGATGCGAAAAGCGCCCAATGAACATTGAGCAGCTACCAATATATCAAACTATTTTCCACACCCGCGGCCCTCCATCCACCGATTACGCCACCTTTGAGATCCAGTGTTGCCATATTTTCGGGCACCGCTGTACTGCTTATTGTTCAATCATCTTGTCATTCATTGTCCCATTCCGTTCCCGTACAAGTAGCATGCTCCTTCTTAGCTCATCTAACAACAAACGGTTGACGTTGGCTTATTAGTCTACCCAGTTGCGTTCCCGTGACTCGGTCCAGGAGAGTCAAGGGGAGCATTTAGCTGCCAACTATCTTCCCGTCTAGCTTCTCAACCGTAGATGTTTGATTCGAATGTTTGCCTTCGCCCGTACATGCCGTCGTATGACTGTCCCGTAGACAGACGTTATCCTCATCCATCAGGGTCTACCGCTTTCCTCGACGTTCGGAACTTTAGGCGATCCAAACTTCGGACTTACATGTCCCTTCTTCCGGGCAAAATGGCTCATACATGTTCCTTCTTCACGAGCAAAGTTCAGCCCGAAGAGCATCGTGCGCCTGTGGCCCTACGATAATCCACAACTCATCGTTTCGAGGCTGCAGAGGGCCTTAACTTGACCGACTTCCTCCCTCCAGATCTAGCCCCCCCCCGCGCCTTAGTACACGAGACCGTGAGAGTCTATTTCCCCAGAGGAAACCTGGTCCTCAAGACCATGCATACATCATACACGGTATAGCTCTTTCCACATTTCCAGACAAGGCCCCATCGAGATTTTGATGTTCGATCGACAGCATGGAGGGCTGTGAGCTAGGCAAACCATAAAACATCCCTCTCGAAGTCGACCTCCATCCGCACTTCAACATACGATATTGGGCTTCATACAAGCCGAGAGGCTCATCACCCCACTGGCACATGATGTATACACCAACACGAAGAGAAACCCAAGCGAAAGTAGGAATGGTACACCGTTAACGAAATCCCACAATCTAGATCACTTAGCCAGTCGGGATTACATCCAAGATAGCTAGACCTTTACTTGGCAAAACACTCTGCACAAGTTTCCTAACTTGAACCAAAGTATGAAGGGTTAGATCAGAAGCGCGTGAGAGTCAAAATGTAGAAAGGCTACAAATCCAGAGCCCCCCCCCCCCTCAGCGAGCTGAAAGCAAGTCGATCGACAGAAAGTGAGCATTAAATGGAAATATCTGTCTGAGCAAGCATCTCCCATCACAACCAACCCTCACCCATTCCAAGCGTCCTTCCTTCTCCCCCCACCCCTGAAAGTGTCTCCGTGAAGGCTCTCTTGTCTCCTCTGACATCCGTTTCCAATGCTAGGTTCGCAGATACATATAAGAAGGAAAGCATTACCAATGCAACGAAGGCGGGTGGAGAGCATATGTTCCACAAATATCACACAGCCGCCGCCACAACCCCAGCGAGAGAGGAACCATATTACCGGCGCCGACGATGCGTTTCAGCGGATGTGGACTCCGTCAAAGTCGTAGTCCGCGCGGGTAAACAAGCTTCCCCCCGGACCTGCATCCGCATCCGAACTCCTTGCGCTCGGCCGGTCCGGGAGCCAGGTAACCTCATTCCCGGACCTCCAGCGGACTTTATTCCGTCCTGTATGTGGTTATGTCTTTGTCTTCACTCCTGATCCACTTGCAACAAATCATCACGAATAGCAAAGACAATAAAGTCCACGAATCTTTTGCATATAGTTCCGGGGCGCAAAGCGCAGCCCATAACGAGTAATCTCTAAGATAAGCATAAAGCCAGATGAAGAACATATACAGACGCTGAGCCCCGGGGATGTCACTCGCACGGGGCCACGGCGGGGCTCATCCGTGCTACTGGTAAGGTAAGCTACAACAGCTCCCCCACACGGAGTCCGCCTTTGACCAGGTTAGCTAGCCAGCCCCATCCTCAGTCCAACGACCATTCCAGGTATTGGTCTATATTCCCCCATGTAACGCCATCCTAATGCTTAGCCGTGACCTTGTCGCCGGTGAGCTTCTCGACGTAAGTCTTGGCCCTGTAGTACCCAACGATTAGTCCTGTCCGTGTTGTTGATGAAAGGGGTGGGGGCAACTCACATATCACCCAAAGCAACCATGCAAATCGTCTGCCAAACGCCGAGACCAATACGAGGAGCAACACCACGGTAGAGACCAGAGATACCGTTGGTGGAGTAAATGTAACGGAAAGTGTTTCCGACCGTCATCTTCTTGGGTCGATTGGGGTCCTCCTTCTTGCTCTGCATCTCGACACGGATGACCTCAATAGGCTGATTCCAGGCGGACAGACCACCACCGAGACCGGAAGCAAGAATCTTCTCCCAAGCGGCGAGCTTCTCGCCCTCCTTCTTGCCTCTTACGTCGCGGATACCCTGCTCGGCCAGGCGAGAGAGACCGAAACGGGAACCCCAGTTGGTCATCTGACGGATGGCGACGGCGTTGACACCCTTGTTGATGCCCTTGATACCCTCCTTGCGGTAGATACCCATGAAGGTCTGGAAGGTGCTGGGGGGCGGGACGCCAGTGGAGGCAACCTTGTGCTTGGTGATCTCGACCGTCTTCATGCAAGTGCAGAAACCCATGGTGGCATAGGCCTGGGCAACACCACCGGTGATACCACCGATGATACCACCACCAAACTCGGAGGCACCAGCGTTGCGTGCGTAGTACTCGGCCTCGGAGGCGACGAAGAGAAGGACGGCGCCCTTGGTGGAGGCTTCAATCCAGGCCCAGGGGATGAGACCCTGGTAGACTGCGAGAGACAAGAAATGTCAGTGATGCTTGCTTGCGGGGTGATTTGCCTTCTGGAGAGCTTCATCATCTAGCAATCAACGACCACCAACCGGGCGGCGATAAGCAGCTCGATTGACGGATTGATTTTTAGTCGTCGTCTCGGAGAAGCACAAGAATCATCAGAATTGAGGATGGGGAGTTTACTCACAACCAAGGACACCACCACGACCCCAGATGCGGCCCAGGGCAGTGCCAAAGCCGTCGCCACGGTTGGCAGCCATGGTGGTCTTGACGACCTCGAGCGGCTGGCCAAGCGTGGTGACCTCGAACATGTTCAGACCGGCGCCCAACAGCAAGTTGGAGAACTTGACGGGCTTCTTCTCCAGCTTCTGGGGCTCCCCGATGGGGGCGGGCATAGTGGCGACGGCAACCATGGCTCTGCTACTTGTGATGACGGAAAGGGGCCCTGACCAAGGGAGGAGGGTGCTTCTTCGCGGGGGATGCGAGGTGCGGCGGGAGGTTTAATGGAAAGTACGGGGTAGATGCTTGGGAATGGAGCCAAGCGAGGAATGGGGAAAAATGCGGCAGGTTGCGGGATAAAAAAGGGCTGGGAATGACCTCGGATATTCGAGCTGTGTGTTGATAGGTGTTTCTCGGAGGAAGGCCGAGGTCACAGGTGACTTTTGTGTATGAGGTGAGGAGAGATGTGTTCGTTTGAGAGTTAGGCGCCCGGGGGACTGGACTGGTTTTGGTTCTAGTTCGGGGGTGGAAGCGTGCGTTCTCAGTGACAAGAAACAGAAGAAACAGAAGCAGGAGCTCTCCGTGACTGAGCGGACGTGGGAGCAGGCGCCTTTTGCACGTGGGAATTGGAGTGGATTTGGGAGGGAACAGTGAGCAAAAGGCAAGGCAGGGGCAGGGGTGCGCTACCTGAATGCTGGAGCTCCTCAATTTTTTTGGTCCCAGCCCACCTCAATGCTCACTCTCTCCAGTCTCTCTTGCTAGGGCGGGCTCTTTGCTGAGCTTGGAATCGGGCCAACTTTGGACTCCATTGGACTTTTTGGACCCGTGGACTTGGCCTTTGATCGGAGGACCGATCTGACAGCTTTGGGTTAGGCTATTCACCCGAGCATCACCTCGGACGACCTATTAGATGGATGCTGGACGGGCATATGCGATACAGACGACTAGACAAAGTTGGATGTTTCCTCTCAAGTAACCAACCCTTGAAGCATAACGGGCGGCCGAGAGCCCCTTGTCTGCAGTCTCCCCCAATGGTTGTAGCAGCGTATGTAAGCTTGACTGGGCGCCTCATGTCTCCCGCCGGTACTTTGCATCTGTGAGTACAAAGTACTCTGTGTCCCTACTGGCAAGCGAAAGATACCTACGGTAGATCAGCTTCCTGGGCAGTTCGGAGAGAGTATGTGTGACACGGAGATGGGAATGCGATAAAAGTGAGACGTGTGTCCCCAGAACTTGAGACGATGCCGGCTGTCCAAGCATTGTTATTAGACTTGACGCCCTCTCATCATCCCTCTCTCCCTGTGCATTGTACTGCTCAGAGACCTCGTTTAGGCCTGCGAATGTCTGTAGTTGACTACCGAGTATATCTGGCTGTAGCAGTAGCCTTGGAAGGAGGTATGAACTGTTGGCATGTACACATCCAATCCACTACGGATACAAACAATCGCATCCAATGTCAGCTATCCTTCGGGTACTTTTACGGGAATGAAACTGCAGCAAGCCATTATTCCCTCGGCGGCTTGCTTACCTCACTTCAGATAACAAGGTATACATCAATAACTCTCATTACAGCCGCAGCTTGGAAAGGGAGCTGTGCCGCCTGCAACACTGGATTTCAACCAGAAAAAAAGGAAGCTCGAAGCTCGAGCAGAAGAAAACAGGGTCCGTACCTAAAGGCCGCGCATCAACAGTCCGCCGTGCCACGGACTGGCCCGTGGGTTCTCCGCCAACCACACCAGAACGGGCACTAAAAGCACCAAAGATTCAAGAAACCGAAGAAGGCGGCGCCCCGCCGGGTCCCTTTTTTGGAGCTCAACCCTCCCCAACAGCTTCCAGCCTTGTCCCCATCTGGAGAGCTCAACGCAAAATTCCGTGGGGATCTTCCGACTGCCAAAGCCTCAACCGCCCCCGTCCTGCCTCCCTCCGATTCCCGTCTCGGACTGGGTAGGTATCAAGCTCCAATCTCTCACTCACCAGCCATACTCCGAACAATCGACAATCCCTTTTTTGACATCCACAGCCACCAACATCCATCTGCCTTACTCCGTATGATCTCCCAGTGTCACCGCGTCAGCCTCACGGTGGGAAGTCCTCACCCTCGTCCAATGAAACCATCCGACTCCAACACATTGCACAAACCCGGAACTACATCTCTGGGCCGGAACCACTCGCTCCTGCACCAGGTTTCTCTTTTCTTGCTCAAAAGCTGTCTTTCCCACGCCGGACATCGATTGGGGTATAATCACCTTGAGCGGAGGTGTGTGGATTACCTAGGTACAGTAAGACTACGGATATTATGCAGTGCAAGGTGGTACCGTAGTTTGAGATTATGTAAGACATCACAAATTTGAAAGTGACACGAACTCCTGGTGTGCGCGCGTGCCTGCAGAAGCTCTTGCATAGCTCGAGTCCGGCCGCGTGTCCAAGCATCGCGGCGCCACGCTGCGCGCATGGCTTCTCCCGTCCACGTAGCTGTCACGTCCAGAGGCGCGCAGACATCGGCAAATCCACCCCTTTCCCGCTCCGTCTCAAGTTCAACATCGTCGCATCATGCGTCCCAAGCTTCGAGAACGGGCCATGATCAGTGTGACAAGTAAATGGTAAAGCAATGACTAATGCAAGTAAAGGAACGTCTCGTTAACTTCAAATTCGTAAATGTGTATTCGGACGCAAGCCAACCTCGGCCCCAAGGTAACTAAAACAACCCAGTAATTCCCGGTAAAAGCAGCCCTTCTCGGTATTGTACAAGCGCAGTGGATGGTATCGCCCAAAGCTTTTCTATCCACCCTGACTGAAACAACACGCTGCCTTTCATGTCTATTGTTGATCGCTCATGCGACCCTGATGCCTTGCCTGCGCACGCAAAATTACTTGCGTCCGCAGGCGCGTCTCCTTTTTTCTCTCTCCCATCACCTTCGTCTTCTAAGCGTACACGTTTAGATCTTCTTGACAAGCTCGGCCCACTTGGCAGTGGAGAAGGACTTGGGGCGCTCGATGGGGGCACCGAGGGCGCGGTCGATGATGAGCTGGGGAAGGACACCGATGGCGCGGGAAACACCGAAGAGAACGGTGTAGTAGTTGGCCTCGGTAAGACCGTAGTACTGGAGAAGGACACCGGAGTGGGCGTCGACGTTGGGGTAGGGGTTCTTGGTCTTGCCGTGCTGGGTGAGGACCTCGGGGGCGATCTTGTAGACCTGGGAGACGAGCTGGAACATGGGGTCGTTGGGCATCTTCTCTGTAGGGTTGTCAGTATTATCATTCTTACGTCGAATCTGGATTGTCATTCATGGTGGATACGTACCCTGGGCGAACTTGCGCTGAGCAGAGTAACGGGGGTCAGTCTTGCGGAGGACGGCGTGGCCGTAACCGGGAACGACACGGCCGGCGTTCAGGGTGGACCAGAGGTAGTCCGTGATGGCCTTGTCGCTGAGGTCGTCGCCAACGGACTTCTTCATCTCAGTGAGCCAGTTGAGAACCTCCTGGTTGGCAAGACCGTGGAGAGGACCGGCCAGACCGTTGAGACCAGCAGCAACGGAAAGGAAGGGGGAGGACAGAGCACTGCCGACCAAGTGGGTGGTGTGGGCAGAGACGTTGCCACCCTCGTGGTCAGTGTGGATGGTGAGGTAGAGACGGAGCAGCTCGACGAAGTCGGTGTTGCTGCCGAAGCCGAGCTGGTTTGCGAAGTTGAAGGAGTAATCCTTGTCCTTCTCAACAGCGGCGACCTTGCCGCCCTTGAAGACGTTCTGGTAGATGCGAGCGGCAATGGTGGGCAGCTTGGCAATCAGATCCATGGAGTCCTCAAAGGTGTATCCCCAGTAGTCCTTCTTGTTGACACCCTTGGCGTAGGCCTTGGCGAACGAAGAGGTGTGCTCGAGGGCGGTAACGGCCAGGGAGAACTGAGCCATGGGGTGAAGGTCGGTAGGGCAGTGGTCGATCAGCTCCTCAACGAACTTGGGGATGTCGGAGCGGGCGGCCCACTCGGCGGACAGGTCGCGGACCTGCTGCTCGGTAGGGACCTCGCCAGTCAGGAGAAGCCAGAAGAGACCTTTGAGGTTTTGTTAGCAAAGGGAATTGATTGCGAAAATTGTTGCGATAAGTAGACTTACCCTCAGGAAGGGGCTCCTTGCCACCGGGAGCCTTGGGGAGGAGCTCCTGGCACTCGGGAATGGTCTTGCCGCGGAAACGGATACCCTCCTCGGCGTCGAGGACGGAACCCTCCCAGACGAGGCACTTGATGCCACGGGCACCACCGTAGACCTGGTCAAGGGTGACCTTGTCGATGACCTTGGAGCCATGCTCTCTGCGACGGCGAGGTTAGCGGGTGTTGAGGTTGCGATAAGGGGGCTCAATGGCTATGCACTCACTTTCTCAGAGCCTTGACCTCCTCAATCTTCTCGGGGAGAAGCTCAGCGAAGCGCTCCTTCAAGGTCTAGATGCGAACGTGTCAGCTTCACGATACCCGAGGTAAGGAAGGGCCGGACGGCCGGAGGGCAAGCAATAACAGCGGCAGCAGCAGCTTACCTGGTTCTTGGAAGAGTAGCAACGGGCAGCGTTGAAAGCCGAGACCTTGAAAGGGGAGGCTCTGAGGGAAGTCCTCAGAGCAGAGGTGGAAAGACGCGCTACAGACATTGTGAGAGTATCGTGAGGCTTCAGAGACTGGTGAAGGATGAAGGTCGGAAAGGAGGGAAAGAAAAAAGCCGCAGGTAATGGGATAGAAAAAAATATGAAGCAAAGGCGCACTTGGACCGGGGGGCCGCCCTCGGGGGGTCACGTCACAGGTGTGGCCGGAAATACCAATGTACCTCAGCGGGCATACGGGTTGTCTCTCAGGCAGGACGAGGTATTCACGCTAGGTGTTTTGGCGCTGCAGGTACATCTGCCATCCATCTTAGACTCCCGGCCGGTTGCCCTGCAGTGTGGCAGTCTAGGTGCTCCCCCAACGTCGGTCCAACCATGGATTTTTTCCTTGAGCTCTCAAGCTGCCCAGATCCAATGCAGGTCGAGCCCAGGCCCGTCCTCCGAGGTATTCAACACGCGCCAAAGCGCTCAATTTGCGATGGCGTACAGAAATTGATTGAGAGGCTCAGCCGCCGTCCGGCACTCCGTTGACCTCCCTTCCTTTCAGACCAGCTACCTACTACCTACCTTGCTTCTTGACACCGGTGTGCCTTACTCGAGCAGGTTCCAATGGCGGTGGCGGACGACCTCTACACCGTTGATACCTGAGGTCAAGACTCTCTCTCTCTCTCTCTCCCGCGGCCTTCAAGCAGCGAGGGAGAAACAAACGCCGGCGAGGCGAGCAGACGCGAAAGGATACGTACCTGCTGTAATAATGTACAAGTGTCCAAGACTCCAGTGCCCCCCGTGTCCCCCGTGGTCCCCCCAACCAGCGACTCCAATCAATCTATCCTGTCAATCTTGGGATCTCAATCTCCCTGAACCTGTCTCCGTCTTTTTACGTAGCGTCCCTCGTCGGCCCCACCATAAAATCTGCATCGCGCACTCCAGTTTGTCGTTGCTCCAGTCTCCAGTTTTACCTCCCGTATCACAACGCCCCGTTCTTGCGCGCGAAAAGCCGAGATAAGTGGATATCTGGGCGGCTTCTCTCGGAGTATCCGCTCTTCGTCCGAAGGTCGGAAGCCAAACTCCAAGTATCTGTTGAACACAACATCGCAGCCTTGACTTTGTGGGTAGCCTAGCGGTAAGGCAAGGTAGCCAAGGACAATGCGCCTCACGGTGAGACTGGACGACGATTGAAGTTGAGAAGGGACTGTGTACCTACCCAGGCACTTGGGATCACGGCCCGGCCCCCACGAGTCCACGCTTCCTGACTAAGATTTGACTCTCCCCAAAGAGCATGTTCGGACTAAGCGCTTGCTCTGCTGTTGCCATTGGCAAGTATGCGTCCGGAGCCAAAGTCAATGGGAGACTTGTTGATTCAAGTTGTTGCTCTCCTCCGAGCCCTGTCTCGCGCATCTCCCGTCAGCTCCGAGGCTCCGTGACCCGCCGCAGGTGTGGCATTCGCCCAATTAAAGCTGCGTGTGCGACCCTCCTGCCTGTCTGGGAGCGAACTTCCAAGCACGGCACAGCTCGACCGCCTCATCCGAGGAAGCTCATACCGGTCACGTATCCATACAACATGAAATAGAACGAGGCTTCCGCTCGTCCACGGCAAAGGCAGATGGTGTGGTCATGCCTCCCGGCTATCACGTAAACTTGATGCAATCGTTTGTGTGGTATTGGTGACAAGCTGTAGCGATTGCGCAGCAACCTGTCAAACTTCAAGTTTAGATCCAACTGATAAGGAGTATTTTCGCAATAGTCTGCCGGCAACTTCAGTTCTGATCGAAAGAGCTGTGTTGCCGGGGAACTAGCACACCTTCTCCAGATAATTTAGTAGGTGGGTATTGTCCGCATACGGAAGTGGATGAGAACAATATGAAGACTGGCAGAGATAATAGTGGGTGAGCGTGACAACAAAGACCGTTGCTCTCCCCGTTGATGTCCGGGCCGGCGACGCCAATGTGGAAAGGAGTTCTGGCCAATCTGGGTCAATCCAAGCGCCGGGACCCAAAGCATATCCTGTTATTTCCATATTGGCGCCATTGAGACGATTGTGTCGAATGAGCCTTTCTCTCTTACGCAGTATTTACTATGCCAGCTCATCACCAGCTTGTCTACCTCAGCATTCCAATGCAATTCATCTTCTACTTCGCGGCAGAACCTCGGCGGTGGAACCATCATCTCGCTTCGAGGATCGGCTAGTCAGCAAAAAGGTTTGTGCCTCAGTAGCGTTCCTTTTAGCCTTAGGCAGAAAGAAGAAGCTTGGGCACCCGACCTCAGCAAACGATGTGAGCTCTTGCTCTTGATGACTTGATGACAAAGATGCCAATGGCCTTGATTGGTGCTTTGATGTCCAAGAATAAAGCCGTAATCATATGGGCATGCCGCACACCTGCCATGTGCCACCGCCTGCTGCACGGCAAGCCTCCAGCGTCGTCTCCAAACGTGTCCCAGCTTCCATTCTATCCCCACTTCTGAATCTCTTCTTTTCCAACCACAACTCCCCCTTCCCCCTCAGAAAAACTGACGAACCTCCAGCGCGACGCTGCATCACGCCCATCCCGTCGGCGGCATAAGATAACTGTATTCATCGAGACTATCATCGTACACTGACGATCATCGTATTTCGCCTTCGAGGACCGCAAGAGTCCGACCGTGGGTGAAATCAAATCAAGTAGTAGACCGTCGACGGCTCCTGCCACTTGAAAATTCTCCTCTGTGACCTCCTTGGGACGACTCGTCAAGAAAGGCGTCGCACGCTCTGTCCGTACAAAGTAGAGAGTCATCCAATCCAGGAACTCGATCCATTCGTACCTTTAGAGTGCTGGATACAGCGCCGTCGCGCGACTTCTTGGGATACCTACATTATTTCTGCCTGCGCGGTCTGTAAAACAAAATACACACAAAAGTTGTTGATCGAGGGAAGGAGCGACCGGACGTACCTGCCTGATTTTACTCTAGGAAAGAGCGTGGCACTTTTTTACTCTTGACTACTTCCACTTCCTGGACGTCGCGTACCTCCCCGCGCTCTCAGTAAACCTCTTCTTGAACAACCCTTCTTGCAAGCCGCAAAGAGCAAGAAAAGAAACCCTAGCTACTGGCACTTCGTCTGTTTTGCCTCGAGCCTGCCCACCACAACCAAACTACCTACCTTCTTCCCAATCGTACTTCGCTCGCAAACAAACTCCTGAGGAAAAACACCACAATCGCCATCGCCATATCTTAGTTGCCAGCGAGCGACCTGCAGAATGGCTGCCCCGACTTCTGCTGCCGCTGCTGTGGCGGAGCTAGAAGCCGCCCTCGAACCCATGCAGAATTACAAGGCTCCTGGTGTCACCGCCAACCGCATTGCTAATATCACTACCATCTGTGTCGACAACATTCAGGTACGATACGATATCGAACGCAGCGTCGCAACTCGCTTGCCTAGTCAAGTACCTAGACTAACCTCGAAACTTTTCTCTGTAGAATGAGTCGGTTCTCATCCAGAAGCTGTATACCACGTTCAAGAAGTTTGCTGCTCCATACAAGCTTGGAGTCCTATACGTGATAGACTCTGTGATGCGCAAGTGGCTTGACCAAGCCAGAGTGTCCGGCCAGCCTGTTGATGGTTCTGCGAGAGATGGAACCTTTGGCGCTGGTTGTCACCGAATTACCGGTCTCATGCACACCCTCATCAGTGACATGGTGCAGTTGCGCCTCGAAGGCCAAAAGGTACGCATCAAATGTTGCAGTTTTGAAGCACCCTCCACTACAATACTTTGTGTTCGCAAATCTCATAAAGGTTTGGGCATGGGTTGCGATGCCTTTCGCCCTTCATCCTTTCATCTACCTCATACCGGAGAATGTGAAAGTGAACGCTTGAGACTCGTTCGGACACGTTCATTGGTGTCCATATGTTCCTTGCTTTCCGTTGACATGGTTGAATAATCTACTTACACTGCTGCCCTTTATGTAGGAGAAATTGCTTAAGCTGCTCGAAATATGGCGTAGAGTTGCCACTTTCTCTCCTGACGTCCTCGATGATTTTCAGCGGAAGATCGAATCTTCGCCTGACCCGAGTATGTCACTATCCCACCAGATGATCAACAAGCTTCATCGCCTCCTTTGTGCCAGTCTGGGTTCACAATTTACTGACTCCTCTGCCCGTTCAGTTCAGTCCTACACGCCTGAGGGTAGTCCCCCACCAGGCTTGGTCGAGGCCATGGGCTACAGATCCAAATCCGCGGCTCCTCCTGCTGCTCAGCCCCGTCCTGCCGATGCCAACAGCATCATCGCCAATCTGGCCAAACTTACACAGTCCGTCCAGAGCCAGCCTCAGACCCAGAGCTACGGTCAGCCGCAGAATAGTCAGAGTCAGAGTAACGGCTATGGCCAGAACTTCAATCAGGGTCACAATTATAGCCAGGCCCATGGTCATGTCCAGCCTCCCGCCCCGGCTCAGACTCAGACCCCCGCAGTGCCTCAGAACTTGCAAGACTTGCTTTCTAGACTCCAGAGCTCTACGCCACAGCAGCAGCAGCAGCAGCCGCCGCCGCCTCCAGCTCCTCCCGTCAACCAGTTCTCCCAGGCTCCGTACTCTATGCCTCCTTTCCCCGGCGGTCCCCCTAACCCAGCGACTCCGTACGCATACGCCCAAGGCCAGCCCCAGGCTCCTCCTGTTGGTCTGCCATTCCCAGGAGCTGGCCCTCAGCCTCCTCAGGGAGTCAATGGTCAGCAAATGGCTCTCATGCAGATGTTTGCCAATTCGGGATTCACCGCGGAGCAAATTGTCGCCGCGCTTGCGGCTGCCAGCAACCAAAACAGCGCTGCTTCTACGGGACCGCCTGTACCCACGCCCTCGACCACATCGACTCCACTCCCCATCGCGGCCCAGAGTTACTACGGCAGCGGTCAGGGATGGGGCGGTCCTGTTCAGCCCCGTGACACCAGCGAGGGAAGTCGCTACGTTCGCACCTCAGCTGGAGCTGGGGGTGGGAGCAAATATGAACGTACAACCCGGTCTAGGTCGCCTGGCCGCCGTTGGAACTCGGGTGGTTCTTCTCACGACCGCGACAATGGCTACG